ACTTCCCTAACAAAGCTGAGTTCTTTTCCCGAACCCTAATCCTCTTTGCTTCTACCCACAACCCCCCAATTAATAAGTGATCTGTTTTACCTTATCCCGGTTCCCAAAGAAAATTTCTCATCAATTTTTCCAATTTCTTTGTTTCCCTAGATGATATCCTAAAGATAGAGAGGTAATAGATAGGTAGATTCATGAGGGTAGCTTTTATCAAAGTGATCCTCCCACCCAAAGAGATATAATTTTTCTTCCACACAGCTAATCTCTTTTATATCTTCTCCCAGAATGGGGTCCAAAACCTACTCTCCCTAGGGTTTGCTCCTAACGGAAGCCCTAAGTAGGACAAAGGCCAGGAAGAAAATGGAACACTCAAGACAAACTGCAATCGCCTCAACCTCCTCAAAAGTCTAGATTTACTCCGGCTATGCAACTTTTTCCTATATTGATTTTCAAATTGGAAACTCCTTCAAAAATTGTAATCAATTATTTCAATATCATCAAGTCATCTACAAACTGAAGGTGAGTTACTGGAATTCGGTTTGTGCCTACTCTCGAACCCCTTATCACATCTTCCCTATCAGCTACCAAGGTAGAGAGAAAAAACGAAAGTGGGTACCCTTGTCTAATACCCCTACTAGCTAGAAAAAAATCCCTCACCACCCCATTTACTAGGATGGAATAGTGACAAGAGTTGACACAACCAGATACCCAACTATACCATCTTTCCCCAAACCCACACTTCCTCAAAACCTCTAGTAGGAACTGCCAGTCCACCAAGTCATAGGGTTTCTCAAGATCAAGCTTACAAACAAAGCCTCTCTACTTGGACCTCTTCATCTTTTCCGCACATTCATTGGCAATCAAGATCTGATCAATAATCTAATGCCCTTGGATGAAAGCCCCTTGAGCCTGACTAATAATGGAGGGAAGGATTTCTTTAATCCTCGAAGACAGGACCTTGGCCAGGATTTTATAGATACTAGTCACCAATCCAATTGGCCTAAAATCTTTAGGATTGATTTGTTGGGAGTTATTAGATTCTTCACCAAATGGATTCAAGGGGGACAGATAACCCCAAAGCCCATCATCGCTAATGTGGTTTTCAAATGGAGTTCTATACATCACTGCTATACGGCCTGAATTCCTCCCATGTCTAGTGTTATGGCATGGAAATAGCAGAGCACTGCCATCTAATCTCCAGCGGTCCAGCTTTACCCATTCACATCTCTATTTTTCCAGTTTGGAGTCACTGACTTGGATAAAACTCCTACATGGTTCCCCTATTGGTATATCATAAACATTAAGTCCTTGCTCCATAAATGTATTGGAAAACTGAAGGACCTTATCCAGAAACTCAATACTTCTCATTTGTCGTCTATGACTATTTCCACTCTCGAATACCAATTATTTATACAAAGGTTGTGGTCCTCAATTGTTAACCATATGACCATTCCCAGATAGACCTAGCCACTTCTTTCTCCAATGGAAGTAAGAATAGCAGTCTATTTGGTAGTTTGCTGACTTCTGTATTTAACAAAAGCCCCCATTTCTTCCTCAACTTCTTACCCAACTTCACAAGTTAAAAGGAAGGGTCCCCTTCAAACTTCCCAACAAACAACTCTTTAGATATACCTTTCTCTTTCTTATTTCCTTTGCTGTCAGAACAAGGCATATCACCTATTCCCTTCTAATAACCCCACACATACCTTCTTGCAGCCATGCCTCTATCCTTGCTGCCTCCTTATAGCTCTTACAGCTAGCTCTGTGCTTCTCCAAAACTTCCATTCACTGATGTAGGAATTCGTTAACTTTTTTGTCCACCCCAAAATCTTCGCCAAACCTGTTGAAGATTAATCAGTTTTATGATGTTTTTCTGAGTAGGTGTTTTATGTTAGTTGTTAGATAGGAGGTGGGGACCACAGTAGTTATGTGAGTCCAAATTTTATTATTTTTTTTAGTCTTTTATATGCTGTTTTATGTTTTGCCGCCCTATAAGGGCATAGTTGTCATTGTACTGCTCTATTATTTTTAGTATAAAGGCAGCCAGATTATTGCTCTCTTTTCTTTTCAACTTCTCTTCTTCTCTTCTTCTCTTTCTCTCTTCCCTCTTCAGGAAACTACTTTTCTTTCATATTTTTTTAATTCAGCAGACTTCTACTAACCCATGGTTGCTAAACCTCTTGCCATGCCATCAGAACCATCACCTCCTTGTGTAAGAGCAGGAGGAATTAGTTGATCCTTTCATTCACCGCCAGATCATTCTTGGGCCATTGGTAACTTCTAAGTATGCAATGCCGTTACATTATTATCTGCTTAATGAAGATGATAACTACTTTGAGACAGCTCAAATTTCTTTGTGGATGTGGCACTAAATCATAGTTTTTGTCTGACTCTGTGTAAAAGATTATTTGGTTCGTCTATTAGAATCATTTGCACTTTTTGCATGTTTAAATTCTGCTTAAATTTACTTTATTATACAGCTTTACCTCTTAAAGTCTAAAGGACAATTTCACAGCATATTGTTTTTCCTATTAACCTTAATTTCATAGCTTTATTTGATGGTTTTAAACAAAGTAATAATCTAAAAGAGTGTATTTGTGCTTTCTTTATCATTTCATAAAATACCATTGTATATTTCTACATATTTTACAATGTTTGCACCAAGCCTACACTTTTTATGTTATTTCCATATAACATTTCCAATGCTTCTTATACCTTGATAACCAACATTTCCACCAACACCAAAATTTTAAACCTTGGAGAAAACAACACAGATTTAGGTCGATGGACCAAAACCTTACACACATGATGGGTTAGCGGCTGTTATGTTGTGGACATGTGAGGGCTACATTAGACCAGCAACAACCAGAACTTTTTATCACACTAGTGGTACATACTATAAATCAGCAATCTAACATTTGAGTGCAACATGTACACAAAAGTTGGCATTAAGCCCATACTAATCCTTTTTACCAGTGAGCAAACCATCGCAATATTCCATTTGTTTTCATAAATATATTATATGTTCATATAGCACATATAATTTAACTATGGAGATGGCACTGAACAGAACGGAATGGCAAAACATGATTCATGTAGCCAACACTGTATAGTTGAGAAAAAGATCAGATGATGATTATATGGTTGCTTAACTGTAGTCCATCAAAGCCACCTTAGCTAATCTTCCCATTTACTTTTTGTCCACATTCTGTATCCCTATAAAAATTGCTAGGCAACTAGAAAAGTTGATGAGGGTTTTCTTGTTGGTAAAGGGGGAGGGGAAGAAAGACACTTGGTGAAATGGGAACAGGTTACTAAACCTAAAAAAAAAGGATGGGTTAGGAATAGGAAACTTAACCCAAAAAAAATGTATCCCTCTTAGTAAAATGGTTGTGGAGGTTACCTTTAAAAAATGATAGGAAGGTGGTTGCAAGCATACATGGTCAGATGAACAATGGCTGGGATGCAAAGGTAGCTTCCAATGCAACTTCATTTTCTCCATGGAAAGCAAATTATGAGGTCCAACCATCTTTTGTCAATCTCATCCAGTATGATGTAGGAAACAGGTTGAGAGTCTTGTTTTGGGAGGACCTTTGGATAGGTGCACAACCACTAAAGGTCCAATTTCCTGTGTTTTATGCACTATCAAGTTACAAATTTGAACCCATCTCTAAGTTTGTAAACTTCTCTACATTGGGTATAAATTGGGATTTGGATTCAGAAGGGGTAGGGAAACAGAATGTGAACCTGTCATTCCTGTTTTGTCCATTCTTGACTATTTTTTTGGCTGAAAATGTAGAAGACAACAGGGTTTGGTCCATCAACCTTGGGGGTAAATTTCTCAGTGAAAGAAATTTGGAATAAGCCAATCCATCCTAAAATCCAGGAACTTTATTGGGAAATTTTCCTTAGAAAGATTAAAACTTGTAATATATTGCAGAAAAGAAGGCCAAATAAGTGTCAATCTCCTCAAATGTGCTTTCTATGCAAGAACAATGGTGGGCTCTTCCTCAGGATTTGGTGGGTCTCTTTGACCCAAACATCTTGAGACAACCGATAAAAGGGGAAGAATTTTGTGGAAAGCAGTGAGAACTGCCATGTTATGGACCGTATGGGAACAAAGGAATGGGAGGATTTTTACTGAAAATAATCAATCCAAAATGGAAGTCATTGATTTGGTAAAAATTAAAGTCGCACATGGGTGAAGACCCCGGAGCATTTCCAAGGTTTCTCAAAAAATGACATTTTGAGAACTTGGAAGGAAGTGGCTCTTTGGCTCAAGCCTAGGAAAGAGTAAATATCGAATGCAGACCCCCAGCAATCAACTTTGTTAAACTCAATTTTGATGGGAGTTATATTGGTAGTCAGGTTGCGGCGGGGTTAGGAGGGGTCTTCAGGGACTCAGAAGGAAAGGCCTTAGCATTGTATTCGGGCCACTCAGGACCATTTATAGATGGCAATGCATTGAAATCAGAGATGTGTAGATCACTCCATGGGTTAAAATTTGCTAAGCAATTTGGTTTCTGGTCATTACATGGAGAAGAGGAGTTCCCCAGTCCCATGGGTCTATTGACATACTTTTCAGGAAATAGAAAGCATATGAAGGGAGATAAATTTGTCTTTAAATGGGTGAGAACATCAGAAAATAGGATGGAAGATGTGTTAGCCAAACAAGGGACAGTGAGGCACCAAATGTTGGCAAAATTATAAATTATAAAGATTGTTTCTAAGGTGGAAAAAACCCACCTATTGTAATACTTGAAATTGATATTAATAAAATTTTTCTTACTGATAAAAAAAAAAAAAACTGTAGTCCATAATCCATATACACAAGCATGCATATGTATATTAATATACATGCATAATTATATATAAATCATCAAAAGTGTGGTCCATAAACACTAATACCCAAAAGTTACAGTACGCATCATTTATGACAAGAACATACGTTACACAAACGAACAAGAATAACAAGCACAGCCAGAACAAAATAAGTAAGCTACCTTACAAAGATAATGCATGAGAGTCATCTTGTTGTTCCGTGAACGTGTATCAGAGAGTTTAAGGAGGCTGTCCAATCTAAATCCAACAGCTGAACCTACAGACATGGGATTGTGAACTTAGCATCCAGATAAAACATAGCAAATATTTCCAAATATTTATCAAAAATGAAAAAAAATGTCTGCATGGAACAATGCAGAAAACATGTCAGGTCAGACAACATGAGCATGCAAGGATGGGCACATGACATGAACAAAGCTATTAGGCATGCAATCAGGTACCCTACTTTAAGAATTTATACTGCATTTGGCATGGGACCTCAGGCCAGGACCCTTGAAATTTTAAAAGATGCCCAACAGAGGCTCACCCAAGATATACTACCAAAAGCTATAGAACAGTTAGTGCCAGAACTAATTATTGAGAGATAGAACATACCCCAATCTCTAGAATCTAGCATACTAACACAAAGCAAAAAAGTGAAAGTAAGTTCATGGAATAAAGCTTACTGAATAGATTCTCCTAATACATCCTTTGCTACTTTCTATATACAGTTTTCCACTTCAAACCATATATCATTTAGATGGAAAGACTAATGATATATGGGTTGAAATGGCAAACCGCATAAAGAAAGTAAGAAAAGATGTATTAGGAAAACCTGAAGGGAAATGAAAAAGTGCTAAAGAAACTTGGTGGTGGAATGAAGAGGTTCACAAATGGTGGACCCGAGACATGACAGCGAGGCTTCAATGGGTAAAGAGGAGTGCTGATTCATTTGCAAATGCACTAGCTAAACAAAGGGGTGAGAAGAAATCAATTGTTCTGGGCTTACATGTGATCTTTATATTTTAATTTTGGGGGAGTTAAGAGAGTTTATCTCCCCTGCCTTGTATCTATCCTTTAGTCATTAATGAATTGATTTTTTTACTGATCAAAAAAAAAAAGAGGTCCACTATAATCAAGATTAAAACAAGCATATTGCAAAAATACAAAAAAGCTAGGAAAAATATAAAACTATAAAAGAAAGTGAAGTTAAATTTTGGGCATATGATGAGCTTTATCATACATTAGGCACTAAAGAGGGATAAAAAGGAATCTATAGACTAGCAAAGATGAGCACTGGTAAAAGATTTAAACCATATTTAGTGCATTAAAGAGGAAGAAGAGCATTGGTAAAAGATGAGGAAATCAAGCAAAGATGGAAAAGCTATTTCGAAAAGTCATTAAATGAACAACATGTAGAGGATGCTAATTGAGGAGAGATTAGTAATGCAAATAGTGTTAAAAATAACATATACCTTTGCAAACTTATAAGTATGAAAAGAAAGAGGCACTAAATAAGATGGAAGGAAAAAGAATTAGGACCTGATGGGATTCCACTAGAAGTATGGGAGATGTAGGCTTTATTATGGCAAAGATTTTCAATAAGATAATGAAAGAAAAGAAGATGCTTGATAACTAGAGAAACAGTAGTGTGGTGCTTATATTTAAGAACAAACGCAATATACAAGGCTTTAATAACTATCTAGGATTAAGCTCATGATCCACACTATGAAACTTTGGGTGAGAATAAATGCGTAGAGAGTACAACATGAAACTAATATATCAAAGAACTAATTTTGGTTTACGCCAGGGACATCACCATGGAAGCTATCTTTCTTTTGAGATGATTGAGAGAACACTCTGAATCGAGCAGAAGAGGAAAAAGGAATCTTAACAGACAAAATGGCATGTACGGTTGTGGATCAAACAAAGGCCTGCGAGTGGAACCCAAACCCAACTACTCTCGACATTATTAATTGTCCAATCCCACAAAGCTTGGGACCTAGCCCTATTCATTTTAAAAGCCCACCTAGGTCAACCAAAGCAAGAAGGCATCAAAACCAAGGCTTGGGTAAAGGCAAGGAGGTGGTTGATCCGGAAGGATCTTCCTTCTCTTCCTCCACTGAATCAGATTGTGAGGATGGATTTTTAATCAATGGGGGAAGCTCCACAACACCTCAATTAGTGGTTTTTTACGATGTCTTATGCAAGATATGGAGGATCGAGCAGGTCTCAGTCTGATGGTAGTTCCCCCTTCATCACAACCCCCTTAAGTACCAGAGTAGCCTGGAAGCTGCTGGGTTTGTAATGGACAAAGGAGATGTTGGCTCTAGGAAAGAAGGGATTTTTCTTGCTATAGATGCTTCTACAGCACAACTTGAGAAGGGAAGTGTAGGAACTCCAACTTCAAAAGGTTTTGTTGGGGCCTTGGTACCGGATGATGTGGTTAATGGTGACAGCCCAACTGGACACTCGCCTCTTAGTAGACAGGAGCCACTAGCAATGGTTCTGCCAGAGAACAAAGACCACTTTGCTCCCCAACAGGTGATTCAATATCAATTAGTAAACCTGAGGTATGCAAATGAAGATGAGGTTATGACATGGGTTCTCTAGAAGTTGCTATTGTTTGAAGAGTTCCTAGGGATATCTATCAAGGCTTGGAGGAAGAAACGAAAGCTCTTTTGTTGGCTATAGAGAGTAAACACTTGTTGGAAAAGGAAAGAAGAACAAGCGGCAACCCAAAGCATAGTTGTCAAGGCAGGCGACTAGGCGATTTTTAGAAGTTGCCTCGTCCAATGCTAAGTGTTTTTTGTATTAGGCACTCATGCATATACACATTATATCATTTTTTGAACGCCTTTATATATAATGTATCATTTTATTGGTTAGTTTTATTTTATTAGAATACATCCTGTTGTGTGTTACAACCTTTTTTATAAAAAATCATTTTTTACTGTTACAGAATAGGAAGTAAATACTAGGGAGATATGATTTACCTTGATTGTAGGACTGATTTGTAGGAATTTAATTAGTCTTCTTTCCTAACATAGAATTTGTAACTTGTATATATATACATACGAGATTGATGAATACATATAACAAATTCTTCTTCTTCCTCTGTTTACTCTTGTTTTACATGGTATCAGAGCATCTAGTCTCTGCCTACCCTTTCGTTTTTTTTCCTAAGTAAACAGTAGGTAGAGGAAAATTTTTGGGTGTTTCAGGTCACCTCCTTGGAGCAGTTTTTTTTTACTCTCACCGCCCATCCAGGAAGAAGCGTCGCCCGCCGATCGGAGGTTCTGCAAAGTCCGACAGTCAGCAGCCCTGCACGTGTGTCTCACGCGCCGCCTGAAGATTCTACCACAGTCACACGCACCGACGCGTGGAGGAGCGTCTGTCGCCAGAAAATTTTTCGGTCATTGTCTTTTGGCTCGCCTCGTCCTGTATAGCACATATTTGTGCTTTGTTACGTGCATATCCATTCCGGTGTTTTCAACAGGTGTGCTCTATTGATTTTCAGTGTTCAAAATATTTTGTTTATTTGAATTTTAAGATTATGGCAGACAAGAAATCAGTAGTTATGTCGGATGTTGTCAAAGTGACATCAAAAATAACTGAGCATAAGTTTAATGGCTCTAATTATCTGGATTGGAGTAAAACTGTTCAACTATATTTGCTGAGTATTGCTATGGATAACCATTTGACTGATGACCCTCCTAATGATGACTCGAGAAAGTCTTGGTTGAGGGAGGA